TACCCTTTAGGGCTGCACACACATGTAGATACAGTTCATGTAAGGGAGCATCCCCTCCCGGGAAGTCACCAAATTCTAGGACAAGTCCCGACAAATAATTTTATTTCTCCATTCTAGACTACTTAGTTAGCCTCTAAACTACAATGGCCTTCATTGATCACTACATTATGACATTGGCCGTTTTTAAACTAAAGACGCATTATCCGTCTAGACGAACTTGGGCAAGCATTTGTAGTCCGTCTGGTTATGTGTCTTTGGTATAAAGACGGGCACGAGACGTATTGTGCGTCTAGCCTAACTATCTCCCGTAGCGCGTCGTTTAAGAGTCATTTCGAAGGATAGTTCGTCAAGATGTATAATGCGTCTTGTGCCCGTCTTTATTCTAGAGACGCAGAACCAGACGAACTACAAATGTTTGTCCGAGTTCGTCCAAACGGATAATGCGTCTTTAATATAAAAACGGCGACGACACATTATCCTTCTGGACGGATACGGCGTCCTCTATTATAAAAACGGCCATTGACTTGGCAAAATACAATTGTAAGAACCCATGGGGTGGCACTGTCATTTTCATTTTTTTCTTTTTAATACGTGCACCAAACAAAGATGCTTGCTTTCACGTGTAGCTCAAAACTATAAAAAGCTAGCACTAATAATGAAAATATCGGTTTTTGTATGATCACTGAAATTACTTATTATAAGGCGCTATCGGTGTACACTCTTGACAACTGGCGCAGCTTTCTAATTTCCGGACTATTTTGGATTTATAATTCTCACTGAAAGGAACTGAATTGGGTCTCGGATCAAAGTGAGAGAATCTTTCCGTTAGAGTCTTTTTAAAAATGGAATTTTCCGTCGTTCGCTAAGTTTTTTTTCAGGACGGAGAATGGTATACAGTAATTGTTTTTCAGAATAATGGCTGCGATTAAATCTCGTTTTTGTTCACTTTTTTGAGATAACAAAACTCAGGAGAAAATGCCTGAAAAACTAATTAGAATATTGAAACATTCTCCCGTTTTGCGAAAACACTGAGATAGAAAGACAGGAAAATCACTCGTTTGTTTCGATTATCGAAATGTAAATTCTCTTTGCTCGTGCCATCATTTTTCTATAGGGCCTTGCGTGGTGGCTTCATGGTTAGTGCACTCATCTCTGGGTCGAGAGGTCCAGGTTCGAGACCTGACCGGGGATATTGTGTTGTGTTCTTGGGCAAGACACTTTACTCTCACAGTGCCTCTCTCCACCCAGGTGTATAAATGGGTACCGGCGAATTTAATGCTGG